CTCTTTAAGCCATTGAGAACGTTTAGTCTAAATTTTTTGGGGAATATGATATGCATCGGAACCAATGCTATTTGACATAACATGACAAAAAGATTGCATTTTGTTTCTGCACTTATCGAAATCGTCTTAAATTCAGTAAAAACAACTTACTAAACAGAACTGATGAATCAACCCACTGATGTAGATAAAAATATTCACTGTTGCTCAAAGTCTCTAGGGTGACAATGTGGCTTTTCTTGTTTAATTTAAAACAAATAATCTTGTATTTAGGCACATGCTTGCGTACTTATAATAAAATCTCATGTTTTATAGAAAGCAGGGGTATGTTGGTTTCATGTTTGCTACAATTTCAGTTTTTGTGGTTTTAAGAAATGAAGAAGACTCCAATTAAAAAAATAAATAAATCTTCTATTCACTATTCATTCTATTTTTTAATCCATTTGAATCTGAAAATGGAGTCTCTATTTCTTCAGTGGATCTGTCTTACCTGACTGGAAAATATAGAGCTTTCCCAAGGCTCAAATGTAATCAAGCAGATGAACTTGCAGTCTGAGCCTCTACCTATTTGAATTTCTACTTATTCTTATTTTCTAGCTATGTTAAGTGATTAATAGAATAGATTAATGATTTCAGTTTAAATGTTAGATCAGTATTTTGAACAAGGAAGCAACTCTATTTCAGGTTTCAGTAACACTGATGGTGTTTATGAATTTGCTGATCATGTATGATATCAACGAGCCTTCATTTTTAAGAGTATGTTTTTTCCATAATTATGTTTTTGAATTTTTATTATAATCTACTTTTTGTTTTGACTTCTTAATTTTGCTAATTTATTTTATTAAAAGCAAAAATTATTGTAGGCAAGTACCTATCCTGCTCTGAATTCAATATCCTGAAAAATCGAGGCTGGTCTCCTCTCCTCGAGTTGTTGATGCTTGACGAACAAATTCAGTTACAGTTTTCAGGTACCTTGTTGTTGAATGATTATAGCATTTTATGTTTTAAGTTAACTGATATAGATATCCATCTTTGCTTTTTATCAAAGTTCCAATTGCTGTTGGATTTGCCAATTATAATGTAGTTCTTTTGAAAGGATAAGTTGTTAAACTAAAAGGCCTCTCCATTTTTTTTTTTTTTTTTGGTTTGATTGTAATTTTATTTAATAGGATTGCAAATCAAAAAATTTGATTATATTTTTGTTCTAAAAATAGATTCTTAGAGACTTGATTGCATCTGCTACTTCTGCACTGTAAGGAATACGCTTTGAATACTTGTAATAATGCCCTATCAATCATAGATTCAAGTACTACAGCAGTTCTGTTTTGTTAAATCTCCAAATTACACCTTCATTGCATTCATCTTTCTTTCTTCCTTTTTTTTTTTTTTTCTGAAGATAGGTGCATTCATCTTTCTTAGTCACATCAAACATGCTAAGATAGATATTTTAAAGCTCTCTGATTTCATCCTCATTGCATTCATTTATCCTGAGTGTAGAAGTTTCTCCAGTGTCTGCCACTACCTCAGAGCCAGTTGAGAGGCCATGTCTCTTACCAACAGCACCTAGTGTTTTGTACAATTGAAGCATTGTTGGCCTTTGATCTGGAGATGGCTGAACACACTCTAATGCAACTCTAAGAAGCTGAAAGATTTCTTGATCAAATCCTTGCCCCGTCAGAGATTTATCGACAATGCTATAAAAGTTGGAGCTTGCGGAGAGATGTGCAACCCATTCATTGAGGGTTTCATTGCCAGTGTTTGGGCATGTTGTCATGCCTCTAGGATTCTCTCCGGTGATCAGCTCAAGAAGTAAAATTCCAAAGCAATAGATATCCTCCTTGATAAAGCTTGACTCCAAGACTCACTATTAGCCGAGGAGCTTTTAGTTGAATTAGTGCCATTTGGTTTCAAAAGCATTGCCGCTCTAAAGTTGGATAACCTTGGCTTGAAATTCTCATCAAGTAAGATGCACTTGGAGTTAATGTTACGACGGGCAACACAAAAGTTACACTCGTGATGGAGCCAAACCAAGCCTCTTGCTACCCCAGTTGCAATTTTGACCCTTAAGGGCCACTCTATGATTCTTGCCTCGCCTTCTTCAGGATGGACCCAATCATAAAGACTTCCTTTTGACATGTATTTGGAAACCAGAAGCCTCTCCCTTGACTGTATGCGGAATCCCAGGAGGGGCAACAGGTTCTCATGCCTCGATCTACCCAATGTCTTCAATTCTGTTATGAAATGCTCATTAAATAGGCAAGTATCATGTAATCTCTTGACTGCAAGGATCCAACCGTTAGGCAACACTGCCTTGTAGGTTGTCCCCATCCCTCCAATTCCAATGACATTTTCTTTGTCAAAATTTTTTGTTGCTTCACTGATTTCTGTGTAATTAGGTCTTGAAACCAGTTTCCCCAAGGTAGAAGACTGTTAAGTTCCAAACTCCAATATTAATACTAAAATCATGCTGGAACATCAAAACTGAAGTGAGTTATTTGCTAGAGTAAAAGAGCATACCTCTTTGCATTCTTCATTTTTTTTGAACAGCAATCATATATTATTATTAAAGTGAGTACAAGGGTACTCAAACCCATTTCACACTAGGTAATACTCATACAGCAAGTTAACCCCATCAGTCTCTATTTCTATTTCCTTTGTCCAGCATTGTGCCCTTTAAGGCATTCTGCCGGGTTCACAAGCCAATCTGAAGGCTGAAGACATACCTGTCCCATTTTGCAGTAACCCATTGTGCCTCTTTGCATTCTTCATGTAAAAGCTCAACATGTGGCATTTCCTCCATCTGTTGAGTTTGCTTTCTTTTGTTACTCCTCTTCTTCCTTTGTGTCCAAACCACATAACAGAAGATGAAAACAATGATAACTGAAACAACAGAAACCACAAAACCAAAAAGGAAAGGATTTTTGATATTATAACGGGGCTCTAAAGGTTTTCCACAAAGCTCCGGATTATAAGCAAAGCTATCCCTTGAAATATTATATGAAAATTTAGGCACTGGACCGTAAAATAGATTATATAGGCAACAGTCAATTTCCTAAGTCGAGGAAGCAGGCCAATTTCTGGTGGGATATGACCTGTTAGTTGATTGTGGTCAAGATAAAAACATTCAGAAAAGCAATATTGGCTAAACTCTTCGGGATTTCACCTGAGAATTTGTTGGAAGAGAGTTTTAGTGAAGTTAAATAACAGAGGATACTTGATATATCGGATGGAATTGGTCCAGAAAGCTCATTGTTTGAAAGGTCTAGCACCACTAAGCTAGAGCAATCACTCACTCCTCGTGGAAAATGCCCCTTGAGACTCATGTTGGATAGTTGAATGCTCAGCACTTTGTTTTCATCCAGATGCCAGCATTCTACCCCTTTAAACCAGCAGATGAAGCCCTCTGTATTGTTGTTGAAGTTCCATGAAGCTTTAAGATAACCGTATGGATCATCCAAGGAGTCTTTGATAGATTTCAAGCAATAGATGTCGGAGGCAAGGCCAACACTTGAAGCGGTCAGCAATGACCAAATCAAAGCGTGGAGAAACACCGTGCTAAGATTTGCCAAATTAGAAGCCATTTGCAATGGAGAAATAGAGATACGGAACTTAGGGGCATGTAAGAGAATAAAGATATTGCTCATTTAAATAGGTAAACATTTGACGGTCTACAGAAACAGATGGGTCGGAAAATGAGTAAATTATATTGAAACAACACAAGAAAGGAAAATCAACAATAAGGGATAAGGGAATATATTCAACCCCATAAAGAATGGCAGTGTTAATGGACAAGAAGTATACTTCATTGTTCCACATCTATTGTTATTGGGCAATATTATTATTACCAGTACTCCAAGGGAAAATATTGGTTTTCTTTGCTCTGTGTAACAGTAGCAGAGGTTAATAATTGTCTAGGAGCCTGTTTTTGTTGTTGTCAAGCCAAGACTCTAAGTTCATGACTTAAGAACTTAAGGGAAAAAAAAAAATATACCATTTCTTTTATTTTTAGTCAGCTGTAGTTCATAAATATTTGCAAGTTTCCATTTTAGATGTTACTCCTACTGTCCTGCATCAGAAAAACAAAGTTGAGTTAAAACCTTAATATGGGTGGAGAGATATTTGAATAAAGGAAGACCATCTTTTATTTTCTAGCATATCATCTAACGTGTAAAATCAATAATTTATTGATTTAAATAAAAAAAGTTATTTTTTTAAAATAAAAATTTTGAATTTGAATCTTATAAATAAAAAAAGAAGTTAGAAAAAAATTTTTCTTTTATGAGATCCAATTTAATTCAACTTCAAATTAATCAAAATTTAATATTATTTTTAAATATCAAGAGTTTAATAAATTAAAAAAACATAACAAAGTTCAAATTGAGATGGAACTAGTTATAGGGCCATAAAACATTCGACGGTAAAAACAGAAGGAATAAGATAAGTTGGCAAAAATGTAAATTTCATGAAAAAAAAAAAAAAAAAGAAAAGAAAAACACAATAATGGTTGTAGAGTTAACCCCATAAATTAAGGCAGAGTCAATGGAACTCATTGTCCCACATACGGATACCTCAATGTTACGTGGGACTTCAGCAACAAAACAAAGGGCTCCATCTGCAGGTTTACAGGGTTTGGTGAAAACAAGGTGATGAACATTCGTTTATTCGACATGGGTCTGAAGGGCTAATTTCCTCGAGGAATAAGTGAATGCTTCAGCTTAACGGGTTAGACTTCTCAAACAATGAGCTTACTGGACCAATTCCAACTGAAATATTACATATGCTCCCTTACGTAACTACACTTGTATCTCTCTTTTAACAAATTCTCAGGTGAAATCCCAAAGAACTTAGGCAACTGTAGTTTTTTTTTTTTTTTGATAAAAAATGGAGAAATATATTGAATAATAATAAAGTACAGTAAAAACTCCATCATAAGGCATATAGCCGAAGGCATGAAAGCCTAAATAACAGAAATCAAAAGCATCACCTACAGTCTAGTAACAGATTTAAATTATGCCCATGACGAATATAAACAATTAAATAAAGAGAGCCATCTACAACTAGAAATTGCAATTGCAATCGCTATATGGGTTAAATAGGGCGACAAAGGTAGAAAGGAGAGTCGCTATGAGTCCTCACCTATTTAACCAGTTTCATGGGGAGAGTAAAGGATTTCGACAACAAACAGTACCCAGCCCACAAGTTGTCGCCCGAATTTCCACCGACTACTTCCAATCTTGTGCCCATCATGAGCGATCCTCTGAAAACCCTTGCTGGCGAAGCTTGTTAAGGGATCTAGAGCCCTTTTGCCAAGGTGAGCAACATGCTCCCATGCAGAGCCCAAACAAGATCTCATCTGAGGAGATATGCATAAATGAAAATTCGACTCAGAGGATGGGAGAGATCCAACCACCGGCCGGATCAAATCCCTCAGTATCCAAACACAGTGTCAAAAATCAATAGCTGATGCGGATCGAAAGGAGCCGCTGCCATGTGGTCCCTTGGGTTGAAGTTTCCAAAGCAAGACAGACGGCGAGGATGAAGGAAGAGAGTAAGAGGAGAAACCCTTCCTGGAGAAGAAGAGGAAGAGGGAGGGGCTCCGAAAACAGAGAGAGACTCTAAGGAGAAACCCATAGCCGCCGCCCCAAATCCTAGGCGGAGCACGGGAGAGAGCCCCTAGGAGAAACCCTAAGGGAGCCTTTTAATTAAGAAGCCGATTAGGCAACTGTAGTTTTTTGAATATTATTAAACTTAACGGCAATCAACTAATAGATCAAATTCCATCAGCAATTGGCCAGCTTTCTCGGATCAAGGTCTTTAGTGTTGGCTAATAATCTATTATATGAAGAAGTGCCTAGGTTTATCAATGATAATATTGAAATTCAAAGTGATAGCTTTGCTAATAACTGGGGACTTTGTGGAAGCCCTTTAAAGCGCTGTAAGAGTAATCCATTTGAAAAAGGTTTCGTTGTTGGCTATGCAGTTTCTGCTTTTTCTGTTATAACTATTTTTCTCTCACACCATGTGCCATCACGGACACAAGGGAAGAAGAAGAGTAAGGTCCCAATGCAATTCCAGCTAAATCTGAAGAGATGAATGCAATGAAGATGAAATTACAAAAGCTTAAAGACACAGAGCGTTCATCATATATTATGATAGATATAGCAAAATTACTAATACTCAAGGGGAAAATATATTTTCTTTGCTCCTTATGTAAAAGTA